TCTTAAGAGATTGTGGGCATAACTTGATCGCTAAGGTGCCTATGTCAAAGAATAGAATGTTCCTCTTGAACATTCAAAATGATGTGGCAAAGTGTCTCAAGGCCTGCTATACCGACTCTTCGTGGCTATGGCATCTACGATTTGGACACCTCAACTTAGGTAGTCTAGAATGTTTGTCAAAGAAGGAGATGGTGAGAGGCTTTCCTAGTATAAACCACTCATACCAACTATGTGAAGGATGTCTAATTGGGAAGCAAATCCGAAAAAGCTTTCCAAAGGAATCAACATTAAGAGCGACAAAACCACTAGAGCTCATACACATTGATGTCTGTGGACCAATCAATCCAAACTCTTTTGGTAAGAATAAATACTTTCTCCTATTTATTGATGACTATTCTAGAAAAAAAGTGGGTTTATTTCTTGAAGGAGAAGTTAAAAGTGTTTGAAAATTTTAAGAAGTTCAAAGCTCTTGTGGAGAAAGAAAGTGGTCTTTCTATTAAGGCCATGAGATCTGACCGAGGATGAGAGTTTACTTCAAATGAGTTCAACAAATATTGTGAAGACCATGGAATCCGTCGCTCACTAACAGTGCCAAGATCTCCACAACAAAATAGAGTAGTGGAGAGAAAGAATCGGACCATACTTAATATGCTGCGAAGCATGCTTAAGAGTAAGAAGATGCCGAAAGAGTTTTGGGCCGAAGCAGTGGCATATGCAGTTTACCTGACAAACCGTTCCCCAACAAGAAGTGTGCATGAGAAGACACCACAAGAAGCATGGAGTGGAAGGAAGCCGGGGATCTCTCACCTCAAGGTGTTTGGAAGCATTGCGTATATCCACGTTCCAGATGAAAGGAGAATAAAGCTAGATGATAAAAGTGAGAAGTATGTATTTATGGGTAACGACTCAAGCTCCAAAGGGTACAAGCTCTATAATTCAAATAGTGGAAAGATTGTCATAATTCGTGACGTGGAGTTCGAAGAAGAAGTTTGTTGGGGTTGGAGTGCTCAAGAAGACAGGTATGATTTTCTTCCTTATTTTGAAGAAGAAGAAGATGAAATGGAACAACCAATGATAGATGAACATATTACACCACCTGCCTCACCGACACCAAGATTGGATGAAACAAGCTCAAGTGAGAGGACACCACGATTAAGGAGCATTGAAGAGCTTTTTGAGGTAACCAAAAACCAAAATGACATTAACCTCTTTTGTCTTTTTGGTGATTGCGAGCCTCTAAGCTATCAAGAAGCTGTTGAAAACATAAAGTGGAGAGACGCCATGGACGAAGAAATAAAGTCAATCACGAAGAATGATACGTGGGAACTTACTACACTTCCATAAGGACACAAAGCAATCAGAGTAAGAAGGGTGTACAAGGCGAAGAAGAATGCAAAAGGAGATGTGGAGAGATACAAAGCAAGACTGGTGGCAAAAGGCTATAGTCAAAGACAAGGAATTGACTATGATGAGGTATTTTCCCCCGTTGCTCGTCTTGAAACTATTAGATTGATCATTTATTTGGCAGCCAAGAATGAATGGAAGATCTATCAAATGGATGTGAAGTCGGCCTTCTTGAATGGTTTTCTCGAAGAAGAAGTTTATATTGAGCAACCACAAGGATATGAAGTAAAAGGGCAAGAAGAAAAAGTCCTCAAGTTGAAAAAGGCGTTGTACGGACTTAAGCAAGCTCCGAGAGTTTGGAATGTTCGAATCGACAAGTACTTTCGAGACAAGAATTTCATCAAGTGTCCATATGAGCATGCACTCTATATTAAAGCGCAAAGTAGAGATATTTTGATTGTGTGCTTATATGTTGATGACTTGATCTTCACTGGGAACAATCTAAGCATGTTTGAAGAGTTCAAGAAAGACATGTCAAATGAATTTGAGATGACAGATATGGGGCTCATGGCATATTATCTTGGCATTGAAATAAAGCAAGAAGATAAAGGAATTTTTATCACCCAAGAAGGCTATGCAAAAGAAGTCCTTAAGAAGTTCAAGATGGATGATGCCAATCCGGTTGGCACCCCGATGGAATGTGGTAGCAAGTTGAGTAAGCATGAAAATGGAAAGATTGTGGATCAAACTCTTTACAAAAGTTTGGTTGAAAGTCTACGTTACTTGACAAGTACAAGGCCGGATATTCTCTATGCGGTAGGAGTCGTAAGTCGTTACATGAAAGCTCCAACAACAACTCACTTCAAGGAGGCAAAGAGAATCCTTCGGTATATCAAAGGTACAACAAACATTGGCTTACACTATTACTCTTCTAACAATTATGAAATTGTTGGCTATAATGATAGCGATTGGAGTGGAAACTTGGACGATAGAAAGAGAACTATTGATTTTGTGTTCTTTATGGGAGATACTGCTTTCACTTGGATGTTAAAGAAGCAACCTATCGTCACACTGTCAACTTGTGAAGCCGAATATGTTGCCGCTACATCATGCGTTTGTCATGCAATTTGACTAAGGAACTTGTTGAAAGAGTTAAAAATGCCACAAGAAGATCCTATGAAAATATGTGTTGACAATAAATCAGCACTTGCTTTGCCAAAGAATCCTATATTTCATGAAAGAAGTAAACACATCGACACCCGTTACCACTTTATAAGAGAATGCATCGAGAAGAAAGATGTGAAGTTGAAGTATGTGATGTCTCGAGATCAAGCTGCCGACGTTTTCACCAAGCCACTCAAGTTGGAAACTTTCGTAAAGTTAAAGAGCATGCTTGGAGTCACAAATCAAGTTTAAAGGGGGATGTTGAAAGATTAAACTTGATTTGCGCCTAAACATATTATTTGGATATTTGGGCTTAGTTATTTTGGACTTAGATAATTTTAATTAATGTTTCTAGAAAACTCTTTTAATATTTGGAGTGTCTAGATATTTTTTAGGGTTGTAATATTCTCTATAATGCTCTTGGAATTTCTAGAGTTGAGAACTCTCTAGAATTAGTGTGTCTAGAACTTTCCTTAGAGTATTATAAATAGAGATGTAATTCTACACTTTTGTATCAAACAAAATATAAAGTTCTCTCTTCCATAAATAATTCTTCTACCTATCAGGTTTCTCTTTAAGCCTCTAACATTTCCACACACTTTTCCTAAACACAAAAGATCTTATTTCTAACACTATAAACATTTTTGGATTTGGATTCAGATTTATTATTTGTTTGATGGAATTAGTGTGGTTGATGGATTCTCTTTTAATGTTTGCTTGCATGAAATTAGTGTGTTAATTTTCTATCAAAGTGTGCATTTATTATTTGTTTGATGGAATTAGTGTGGTTGATGGATACTCTTTTAATGTTTGCTTGCATGGAATTAGTGTGTTAATTTTCTATCAAAGTGTGCATACTCATGATTCAGAGGCAAAGTAAGTTCCCTCACGACTAAAGTGGGGCCTCCTTCACAATTTAAGATAGAATTGATAAGAGAGTCTTGTTTTCTTCTAAGCAAGGTTGGAATCATGTCATTTTCTAATGCTATAAAGTATGACTCAAAATAGACTTTACTGAAATTACATAGTAAGCAATATATGATCTCTTTAAATAGTATAGTTAAACTACACTTGACATATCTAAATACAGTGTTATTTGTGAATAAATGAATTTATACATTCCTCTTTATAAGATTGCCTTTAAGTCTCATGGAATCATGAAGGACTTTAATTCAAATAACTCCCTTCTAACTCTCTCGAATGTGGTCGTTACCCTAATATTGTTATATAGAATTTGTGATCGATTGCAAATCATCGAATCATCAAACTAATACGATAACCTTTCAAGTATGTTTTTTTTCTCTCAAGTCTAATTTAAATTTTATAATAAATTTGGTGTCACAATCAATTTTCTTAATTCTTATATATTCAAGAAAATCTTATATCTATATGTATAAAAATAAAATTTATTATTCCATAAAAAAAATTATTGAACACTTTAAATTAAAAGACTAACTTTTCAATTATCAAATAATTTATTAGTTTTTGGTTAAATTAAATAACACATAACTTAACTTTTATCAAACATAACTTACATCTAAATTTTTTCCTAAAAAAACACATCAAGCGGAAATCTATTCAAATCCATGATTTCGATCAAAAGTAAAACATTCAAGCCCATTATATTTTACAGCAATATATAAAACTTTCAAACTTGTTTCGAGATTCCATCTGCTGCAACCTGGGTCGTGGAGATAAATTCATATTCTGGTGGAATTCTTGGTGTGATGCACAGCCTTTTTTTTCAACATTCCCGGATCTAATCTCAGACAATAACAAATTCGCTTCTGTCTATGAACTCGAAAAATGCGCGAATAATTTGTGGTCTTGGAACTGGTCTGCTTTTCCACTTGCAGGTAATCTTAATGTTCAAAGATTCATGAAATTTAAGGAAGCTCTTGCTCCCTTCTCCCCAACCAGACACACAGAGAGGATTGTTTCTGTTGGGTAGACGAAGCTTCAGGCGACTTTACAGTGAAATCCTATTATCGTTTTTTTGTCAAACTCCCAGATTGACAGCAGGGAAGGTCCGCTTCTTCTCTACTCATGAAGAATCTATGGAGGACTAAAGTCCCTTCCAAAATTCAAGTCTTTGGTTGGCGATTGTCGATAAACAGGCTGCCTTCGAAAACGGAACTTCAAAAGAGGAGAGTGCTATATTCTTTCAATGATCTGCTTTGTGTTTCTTGTGTTGAGGGCATGAAAACATTTTCCATCTCATATCTCATATTTACATTGAAGATGGTTCGAAATGAGTCATAATGTGGAAACCTCTATCCTAAATCATACAGAGCATTTTCTCAATGAAATATCAAAGAAAGCTGTAAAAGGCAAGAAGCTCTTAATTTAGTGTGCTACTTGTTGGTGTCTTTGATTAAGGAGAAATAATCATTTTTCAAGACAACACAATAGGTAGGGAAGTCGAAGAAACATGTTACTTAATCAAAATAATCTCTTGGAATTGAATAATCTCTTTAGTTAAGGAGGAATAATCATTTTTCAAGACAGCACAATAGGTAGGGAAATCTCTTTACGCCGTTCTGTAAATCTAAAGAACCTGATTTCTCGTCCAGGCTGATCACTGGATTATCCTCAACACAATTTCCATCTTCTCTCGCTCGTTTCGTACCAATCACCACCCCAAACAGCTTCGGATAATTATCATCAACAACCACCGCCGCCGTATCTTCTCCAACGTACCGTTTCTCCGGCAATAAATTAAGCGTCTTCATTGCCATCGAGCGACAGTCTTTTCCTTTTGCATCGCTTTCCGCTTGAAATTTCGCATAATTAGACATAAGATTGAATATATTATTGAAGAGAGACTTCGTATCCTCTAATTCCGTTCTTAAATGCATGTTCTCCTTTGTAAGACTCTCGTTCTCTTCGAATAGCGCGGCATACTCAAACGGCGACGAATCCGATGAAATCACCTGCTCTACTCCCGAAATTGACGGTGATACGATCGGCTCAGCAATCGGAATTGAAACCGAATGTGGCGGAGACAAAACGGCTTCAACAACTTTGGAAGCTACCGGCAGCGATTTTAAAACGATTTTCCGGCGCTGAATATTACATAGAAGGCGTTTCTCACCCCTTCGAAAGAATTCATTAGACAATTCCCACCGATCAGGCACAACTTTTTTAAATCCCTAAATATCAACCAAAACAAACCCAAATTAAAAAATAAATTCAAACCAAAAAATAAAATAGTTAATCAACTAAGATGAATGATGATGATAAATGAATTACATAAGTATTGAGTTGACGAACGAAGCTGGAGAAGTTATTATGCTTGAAATATTTAGGAAGCAAATCCGTGGCGAAAACGGTAGTGTTCCAAACGACGAAGGAAGTTCCAGTATCGTTCCACGAAACGACGTCGTCGATGGTGCGATCATCAACGATCTGGTACGTCTTGGTGATAAACGGTGTCGGAGTTGATCTTTGAGACTTACCGGTTGAGGAATCGCCATTGTGTTCCGTGAATGGAGCCATGGAGAAGTAACTAGCACGAGAGAGGTGTTATTATTATTTATCGTGATAGTTCTAGAAGGTTCGTGAGGAGGTACAGAAGAGAATAAATAAAAGAATTATGGAAGAAAGAGAAAAATTATTGAAATGGAAATAATATATATAAATATTAATGGAAGAAGAAGAAACTAGAAGCTTTGGGTTACCTGTTTTTCTCGCGAAACATCTTTCCTGTGGGGACAGACAGTTTACTAGATTTTTCTGGTGGGGAGTGGGGACAGACAGTTTACTGGATTTTGAGTTAACATAAAGAGAGAGGCAACTTCTACCCTCCTTATTTTGAGTAGAAACAAACATAGAAAAATATCTAACCGATTGAAAGATTCTCGACAAAATAATTTAAGATACAAATTTAGATTTTGAAAATGTACCAAAATTTACTTTAAGAGTACAAGTAAAATATTCTCTTTTCTTCAATCTTTTTATCTAAATTTAATAGTTATAATTAGTTTAGAAATTTATATTAGTTCATAAATATTAACAAATATTTAAAATAGATTTTTCTCAACACATTATCAGCACAATCGTTTTTATGCGAAGTTATTACTACACTAGATATATCTTTTAAACTTATCACTTTAATCTCATTATTGATATAATTTTTTATTATTTACCATGATTATAGAAAACTGACATTTAGTCAAGTGATTTATAACTATAATAATTTTTATCATTATTTTTACTTTACTTATTTTTATAATATTTTGTGGGGAGGTTTAAAACCTCATATGCAGTTCCTAAATTTTATATTTTTTTACTAACTTTTATATTAAATTACTAACTTTTATATTTAATGGAGGTTTAAAGTCTCATATGCAGTTACTAACTTTTATAATCAGTTACTAACTTTTATATTTTGTTACTGATTTTTATATTCAGTTACTAACTTTTATATTTAATGGAGGTTTAAAGCCCCATATATAGTTATTAACTTTTATATTCAGTTTCTAACTTTAATATTCTATTACTAACTTTTATATTCAGTTACTAACTTTTATATTTTTAGTGGAGGTCTAAAACCCCATATGTTACCTTATAATTATCTTTAAACCTTGTAATAGCTAGTTGATATTTAACATACTTTAAATTTGATTTGATGATTTTTTTTCTTTCTCTTTTTTTTTTTCTTTTCTTTTCCCTAACGGTAACTATAACAGCCGTTTTACAAATTTATCTATATATAATTCAACTTCTTTCACAAATTTCATATCATTCTCAAAAAATTTATCCATATCTTTCAAATGACTAAATATTTTCTTTTGTTCATCACTCTACTTGTCATTATTTTATTCCTCATCGGTATTATCAAGCATGAAGAACTAGGTAAAAATTATGTAGCATTAATGATATTGATTGTTTTACCATTACTAGTCTTAGCTTGGTTCATAAATAGAGATATTTGAATAAAATATGATCATGGTTTTTGTAATCGTTGTTATTGAATAAATTGACATTTTTTATTTATGTATTAGATTTTGATTATGATCTTTTGAATTCTAGATAGAATCATGTCAAATGTTAAGCATCACTTCAAAATTTTAAGTATAATTGGGGACAACTATATAACAGGAAATAACAACTTAATAGAGTATCTTGCTTGTGAGGGACTTGATAAAATCCTTGAAGGAGAAATTTTAGGAAAGTTAGTTGTTGGCCCAGAAGAGATGACAATGAAAAAATCAAAAGTAAATCAAATAATCAAACACCACCTTGATGATGGTTTACAAACAGAATATTCAAATGCAAAAGAGCCCAAGATTTTGTGGGACAAACTTAAGTCAATATTTGGACATCATAGGAAAGTCTTGTTGCCCTCATTAATGGATCAGTGGAATAATTAAGGTTTCAAGATTATAAAAGTGTTGTTGCATATAACTCTGTCATGCACCAAATTATAGCACAATTAGAATTTTGTGGCATAGTTATAACTGAAGAAGAAAAATTGGAAAAAAAAACTTTTTCAACTTTTCATGCATCCCATGTTTTGTTGCAACAATAATACAAAATGAGGAAATTTTTTGAGTATTCTGATTTAGTTGCATCCCTTCTAGTAGTAGAATAAAATAATGAGCTCCTTACCAAAAACCACCAGTCACGTCCCACAGGAACAATATCATATCCTGAGATAAATGCCACAATATTTAATCAAAGGTGTGGTGGTTATAATCGTAATAAAAAACGTGGAGGTTATGCTCGTTTTGAGGGTCCTGGTCGAGGCAGATATCACGGTCGAAACCACTTTTGTGGTCGAGGTCGTGGACGGAGTTATTTGAATAATTATAGATTTCTCAGATATGACCAAACTAACAGATATTGTCAAGGTACGTATGGGTACTTATATCCAACAGGGTCCCTCGAGGAATCATGATAATTTGTGCTATAGATGCGGAAATAAATGTCATTGGTCTAAGACGTGTAAAACACCAGACCGTTTTGTAAAAGAAACAAGGCATCTATAGAGGGAAAGGGGGAAGAAGTAAATTTTAATGAAATTGAACCCAAAAATGATACTACATTTCTCGAGGTTGCTAATTTTGTTGAAGGAATAATGGATTAAGAATTTTTTTAAATAATGTGTGATATGCTTGTATTAATTTTATATTTGAACTATATACAAACTTAAGTATTTGTATGTTGTTTGGTGTATTCAATGTTTGAAATAATAATGATAAATATGTTGTGTTAATTTACTCTCTATTTAATCTTATTTTTATTTCAAGAAAGTTAGACATGAAACATGTTGAAGACGTTTGCATTCCAAACAGTGGAACTACCCACACAATCCTCAAATGTAAGAAATATTGCACTGAAATAAATCATACTAAAGTTTTAATAAATACAATCTCAGGTCCTGCAGATTTGATTGAAGGAACAAATAATGCTATGTTCATATTACCAAATAGAACAAAGTTTGTCATTAATAATGTTTTATACTCTCCAAAATCAAAGAGAAACTTGTTGAATTTTAATGACATATTGTCACACCCTAAATTTTGATCCTAATATTCCACATCATTTTCATATCATATGAATAATACTTTCATGCATCACTAACCCATCACAAGTACAAGATATGCGTGTCTACTTATATCACAAGTTAGGTGATCCCTCTAAAGCTCAAGCGGATGAATTATCAAGGGATAAACACCATATTCAACACCACAAATATCTATATCATCCATGAAGATCAAAAACTTTCCCTCATCATTAATCAAGTGCAAAATTGCATCATGACAAGATCATCAAGCCTCGAGACCCTCAGTACACCAAAATTAGGGTTTTGACATAATTCAATCCCTGGGATGACTTGTGGATCAAGGCATGATCCAAGACCTCAAGATATGTTTCAAGGACCTCAAATAAATCATATCATTCCATTCATATGATTGGATTAGTACAAAGAATTTGACTTATGAACAGTGCAAGGATTCAAATTCATCTGGGCCACAAATTAGGATTTTTGATGAAAAGTCAACTGTACCTTTGACTTTTGACCAAGAAATAACCTCAAACCTTGGGACATGACTCAAGACACTCAAAAACAACTTTGGAGTACATCCATGATGTTCAATTTATCCCAAAGGTTTGATTTCACAAAAGATCACAAAGTTCAAAATTCATCTGATACAAAAGTCAACTGTGTCCAAAATCAAGTTTGACTTTTGAAGTTTTTGGTCAACCATGGTTTCTTCATGTCAAGAATGATAATAATATGTGATTTTCATCATGATTGATCAATTAAAATCAAGAAAAGTGAGGTTACTTGTAAAAAAGGCAACCATAAAGAAGTGAAAGTTTTCAGAGTTATGAAGAAAACCCTAATTTGGTGAAAACTTTGCAAGATCATAACTTCCAAACCAAGCAACCATTTTCTTGGATCCAAAGATCAAATTGAATAGCTTGTTACATGCTACAACTTTGTAAATTAGGGTGGATTCCCAAAAAGTGCATAGACTTTGAGATATGAAGCCATGAAGTTAAGGTTTCAAAACTTTTTAAACTTTGACACTTAGTGAAATTTTGGACAGAATCTATTTTGTGTTTTAGCCAACTTTGAGGATATTTTTCTCCAGGATCCAAGATGAATCAAAACCAAATGCAAACATCAAAGTTAAATTATGATATACCAACTTTCCAAAATGTCCAAGAACATCATCAAACTCTACTTGAGCAAAGAGTCATGCAAGATGCAATACACCTTGCTGCAACTGTTTTGCAAAGTTAGTTTTGGACATTTCTTGCAAGACACAAATTTTGAGTCCAAGTGTGATCATTTTCAAGCACTTATTTCAATGTGAATTTGACTGAATCATGACAAACCTGCAAGATAGAGCCAAAGAGGCAAGATGAATCTCATTGAAGTAATGAAGTTTTGTCACATATGCCTTGAATTCAAAGATGCATTTATGTGCAATAGTGCACATTCAACAAAGCAACTCTCCTTAGTCAAGATACATGCTTTAAAAACAATAAAAACATCCGAGGAATGTGGATTTGGTCAAAAATTAGAACTAGGCATGTGGAAGAGATAATGCACTTGTAAGAAGTAATGATGCCATTCCAAAAACCATTGAACCAAACTCTTATCTTTCAAGCCAGCACTATTCCTCCGAAACAAATTTGTTCTCCTATAAATAGATATCATTTCTGATCATCCAAACCACCCTAAAACAACACAACACTTGTTTTCTCTAATTTCTTTCTTTCACTCCAAGTTTTTAAATTTTCAAAAGTGAGAATCGTGTTTTCAAAACCAGAGCTTCTTTGCTCAAACTTTTGATTCAAACACATCATATACATTATATATAAGTGATCTAAACACTTAAACACCCTATGTAACATCAATTGTATCAAGATCATAGATCATCCCAACCAAGATGCAATTTGATTCGAGCCCATCAATCCAAGAGGTTTCAGTTCATTCCAAGCACATCAAGACACTCCTTGGAGGTCAAGGAAGCTTT